CCTTCCCCTCCCTCTCCCTCTCCCTCTCCCTCTCCCTCTCCCTCCCTCTCCCTCTCCCTCTCCCTTCCCTTCAACTCAAGCATTCAGAGAACTTGGTGCGCCTATACCGGCTGAGGTAAAAAAAAGCACCGCTCTTTGAAATTTAGTGGTGCCTCTGAAACAGCAGCTCGAACAACGAAATTCCTTTCATCCACACCTCTCTGCATCCGAAAATCTTCTCCCGTTCATCTCTAGTCGTTTTAGCACACGACTAATTTTTTTTTTTTACAAAAGCAACTGAGATTACATTTTTTGCACTCGAGAATCCGCCAAGCAGATCTCCGACTTGCGTCCGGCGATTTCCAGGAAGGAATTTCGTATTTCAGGATCCGTCGAGAAAAAAAAGTTCCCGATAGATCGACAGGAAATTCTTGCAAAATTCAAATCCTTTCGCAAAGAGCATTTTTAACCCTTTATAAAAGGTTTTTTTTCCTACGACCGATGGATGAAGCTCGACAAACGAGTGGAAAGGGTTTCCTGCTATTTGCATAAACTCTGAAGAATCTCATAGAGCAGCGCGTTTCTTTGTTTTTTTTTTTGTCTCACCCGGTATTTAAGTAAATTTGAGTCAGGATCGAGGAATCCTGTCTGTAAATTCCTGGATGAGGTCGAGCGAAGAAAGAGCTGCTTGCAGGTTCGGGTGAGTGACGTCACGGACGCGGAGGCATCCGATCTCGGTCGTCGAGGTAATGCCTTCAATACTATGCAATTTGCGAAAAAAAAAGAAAAAAAAAACAGACGAACGAACGAACAAAACAAAACAGATGTGAGTGGCAGGGGGAGATTCGTGTCTGTCTCGCATCAGGTGGAAGGAAGCCGGCTCGGAACCGACACGGAACCGGCTCGGAACCGGCTCGGACACGATACATGATGGGAGGCATGATGTCGGCTTTAGCCCTTTTGGGACTCGTCGAAAGATCCGGCTTTAAATCGATTCACAATTTAAAATTACATGAGACAGATCTGGTCCCAATATGACAACTGCGGCAACTAATAGTGGCTCTACTTCCCAAAGTGACTCATAGGAAAGGGTTGCCTGGTTGCCTCCGTCTGGATTACGTAACGTCTGCGAGGACGAAACGAATTCCCGTAGGGATGGATTACGAAACGAGACCAATTAATTTTTTTTTTTTTTTACTTTTGTCATTTGTGCAAGAAAGCACGTGGAAGGTCTCCAAAACACAGGGTGTTTCTGTAAAAAGCCCAGATTTTTTTTTTTCGTATAACTTTTTCGTACAGTCCCATTTTCTGCGCACCTTCCACCCGGTTGGCAACGCACCCAAGTTCGTCGTCGTGCGTTCTTCGATCCGAGGATGCTTCGATTCCCGATCCAAGGATGCTTCGATTCCCGATCCGAGGATGCTTCGATTCCCGATCCGATCGCGCAGTCGGGTTTGCCGGTAATTTTCAACGCCTTCGCGGAAGATCGCGACAGATATGCGCTAGAACGCGATTGCATCCAAAATGACGCATTCACCTTTGCGATCAACTCGTTTTGTTGCATTCAAGCTGCATGTTCGGTTCTTTTCGAAAAAGACGGATAAGAGTGGCACTTACGCCATCTACCGTATCCGTATTTATACAGTATGAATCGATAAAGTTCAAAGCGCGCATAAAATGGGAAACCCCGCTCTTTCGAATGGTACGTCAACGAACCGAAACGATGCAGTACAAAAAAAAGTGTTAGTTGAAAAACTAATGCGGGCTTTACACAGATGCACCATGTTAATATATTTCTCCAAAGAAAACTTTTTCTTTCGGGGCCTGTTCGCTCTCGACACTCGTGCTACTTGCCAATTTCCTTGCCTTGAAACCGAGACGTGCCGTTGGTCGGTGTCCAAGGAGAAGTCATCGAACTGGGGGAGTACTTGGCAAATACAGAGACGGAGCTTAAGTGTCTGGGACGCCGACACGAGACGAATACGAAATGAGCAGCGACCTTGCGACCTTTCGCTTCGAGCGTCTCCGGGTTTTCTGGCTCTGAAGACCTGCAGAGGGGTTCCCGATGAAATAAGCACTGCGTTGGCTCACGAATCGGGTTGCTTCTTCCGAAGGCTTAGGACGAAGTGATTGAAGCCGAAAGGTTTTCTAAAAATGTTTGGAGGTTTGACTTCCAGTATTGGGAGGGACCAAACTTCGTCACGTATCGAGACTCATTCCTTGCAAGAAGTTCAATCAGTCCCAATATACAGGGTGTCCCACTCGCTTTGGTACCCGAAAAAGGGCAAATAACTTTTAAACTATTGAACGTATTAAAACGAAATTTGAACTTCACGTACCTTACTCTATGACGATCAAAATGATGTGTTTGGTCGCAACCAAGCATGCTTGGATGCAAACGGCGGATATTTCCAACATATGTTGTGACATCGTTTTGATTGTCATAGAGTATGGTACGTGCAGTTCAAATTTCGTTGTAATACGTTCAATAGTTTAAAGGTTATTCGCGCTTTTTCGGGTACCAAAGCGAGTGGGACACCCTGTATAATGTCTATATATTGAGAGGAGAGAGAAAAATGAGACATGTTCATGCAGCACTTTTTTATTGGCCATACATCAGGACCAGCTGGATGAAATCCAGTAAAAACAAAAAAACCACCCTTTTCTTCCTTCTGTTGCCCTCTATACAGATTCCTTCCTGCACAAAAAGGAATCCAGAGCAACGTGACTAGGATGTCTTCACGCTCGGGACACCAAATCCCTTTCATAGTTCCTTCTTTACTCTACTACTCTCTATGCACATATCAAATACAGACATCTTTCTTTGCATCACCCTCCTGGATATCATCACAGATCTGAACTCTTTTTTTTTTTCTCCACTAACAAAAGTGCAAGAAAGCCAGTTTTCCCCCCTCTAAAATCCCCTTCGATTCCCACAAAATCAATGCAGTAAGATGGTATCGAAAGCCCAGCATATAACAGATACACAAAACTCAAACCGATGTACAGTGGGACCCGGCAGATGGTCACGGGATGACGAAACCCGTTCGGCCCGCGGCCCAGAAGAGCGCCTAACTGCATAAATTCTATGTTCACTTGACCAAAATGAAATCTCAATATCACAGCCAGCACATACAGTAGATGTTAAGCCTGTGCTTGCTCGCCTCACAATGGGACCCCTGCCCAATGCAATTTCATGCCAACACCATCGCAAACACGAACACGATGCATGAACGTGACTTACTGTGCATGGGAACTGATTCCTAAAGAATACAGGAAATCTGGATCGAGCACCTTAATTTCTCAAACACCGACAAAAAAATACAACATCATATCCTTTTTCCACTTCCCTCAATGCCCAATGCCTTTCTCTTGGCGACTGAATGCCACGGATGTCATTTCCTGGGAGAGAATCTGGGATTGTCAGGTCCTCGCGTGAAGGAGCGCAGCTCGTATGGTCCCTCCTCGCTGTGCAGCATGGCTGCATCCACGTCCGACTTGCGAAAGACGATCATACGGATGTCCGTGTGGAGGTAGATGTGCCCTGATTTGCTGCTGTTCAACCTGAAACAAGGGGTACATATACTCTTCAAATGTCATTAGCTAAGGGTACGGTTATACCAAGATCCTAGAGGCATGAAAGGTTGAGACTTAATGTTACTCCTGAGATTCCTTCTTGGATCTTTGGGACATCAATCCAGATCGTCATGAAAATGATTTCAAGCTTCAGGAAGCAAATGTGATCCTACCTGAGATGAATGAGGTAGCGAAGCCACTTCTGTGAGTCGTGATGTTGGTCAGATGAAGCGACTGGCATGTAAAGGGTACGCTGGCGAAGAAAGGTCTTGGCAGATGGTGGCATGTCCTCCAGATTGTAAACAATGACAAACATCTTCACGACAGTCCTGTGAGGGTTGAAGAGGGTGACCTGGATCGTCCCCTGACGTGGGACCCGGTATCCCTTTTCCCCCAAGTTTATGTGGCACAGGTACGGAGACGAGATCATGTCGTTGTCACACAGGGTGTAGAAGAACACCTACAGAAATAAACCATACACATGTATTCCCATCCCACCCCCATAGAAGTGGTTTCCACAAAAAAGAAGTCAGTCATACAGTGACAGGGAGAGTGATGTGCTTTGGACAGAAGGAGCCACTGGCCCCAATCTCGGCAGTGAAGCCTTCAACTGTGGAAACTGGTTCCAGGCGTCCGTTTAGAACAGACTCTTCAAAATTCCCAAGGAGATTGCTGGAAGTGACCAAGGTGGGAGCTGTGAGGCTAGGATTCTGCTTTACTGGCTCTTGTTCTTCACAGATCTCTTCTTCCTCCTCTTGATCAGAATCAAACAGAGCACTGGAATCAAAGAAAGATATGATTGCTCAGCCTCTTGGAGCAAGGAGGATCCATCAAAGCCTGCTTTCCAAAACTTGTGAAAGAGAGATGATACAGCATACATATAAAAAATACCAGAGCTACCAGTGTACTAGTGTTTTTCACTTCAGTTAGACACTCGATGCATGAGGAACGTCCCATGCACGTGTGTCTAAGTCAAGTGAAAAATTGTCTAACTCAAGTGAAAAACACTATATTATCATCTCACTTCTTGATGGCATGAACAGAGTTGAGGGAGCTGTCAAAGTCAAAAGCCTTTCCCCTCCGATGAGGAGCAGGAGAAGAAGTCAGTGGTAAGCCTGAGCGATGATGGAACACCAGAGAAGCTGCACTGTCAAGGGAGCGACGAAACAATGCCTTTGCAGTGGCTGAGGGCACTGTCCTTGATCCCTGTAAAGTGACTCATTGTATTCCACAAGACATGCATGTGAAGTCAACCTTCAAAGGAGGAAAACCACACGAACCTCAATTTGTACAGAATCCTTCCGCTTCAAGCAGAGCTTGCGCTGAAGATAGGCCCTCTCAAGCTCAAGACTCTGAACTTCGGACATGGATTCGTTCCGATCAAAATCCAAGGCACGTCGGGCTGAAAGACTCTCTTGGGCAGTGGACGACTCGGCAGTCTCACACCGATCAATGTTCGATCCATTACACAGATCATCATTGGATTCATCACATGGACCTCGTTTCATCGAGGGAGACACTAAGATGCAGCTTTCCATTCGCATCAGAGCGTTTGTCACCGGTTGACTCGTGCTGACGTTGGACAGAGGCGTCCTCTCGCGCACCAGGCGTGCCATCGGCATCTTGCGTCTTGCACCCTTTCCAGTGTCTGATGTACCTTGGTGGTCTTCCCATTCATTCAGAAGACTCCTGGATTCAGGTTCTAGTTCCTCTTCACAATGGGCCACAACATATGTCTGGCTGGGTGGATGCACCTGTGGGTCAGACCCTGAGAATGGTTGTCTGCAAAAAGACAGTGGAGAATTAGAAGTTTCACAGCACACAATACACTGTGGTTGTAATGTGATGCACCAGATAAGGTTAACATTGACTATTTTAGATGGGCTAAGGCAAATATATATAGTGGCCCAACTTAGATTTCACCTGTCAGGTGCATGCAATTAACTTGATACAAGGTTCTTCATTCATGGCAACTCTAGAGAAATTACTCTTTCAAGGAGATGAAATGGGAGTCCAATGAGGTGCAGAAACTCACGTTAGGAAGGAGAGAAGATCCTGCTTTTCATTCTTCTGAGATTTCTGCTTTGGCCGTGCCCCACCGTGAGGTGAAGTACGTTCTCTACACCATGCTCCTTCCTCATTCTCAAGCTCTGGATGAGCATATTCCTCAACCTCGATGTTTCTGATGGCATCAACATCCTTGTCCTTGATGCATGTGCAAGGATGCTTCCCTGGATTGCCCCCACATCCTCTAGCCCGATGGAATGCCTCCCTACGAGGTGGAGGTGGGGGAGAGCGGTGGTGGTGTTGGGATTTTCTCTCAGAGAAAGACTCTCTCATCGAGCGCCTTCCTCGTTCCTCTCCACCTTGAGAATTCCATCCTCGCCATGAGTGTCTTACCTTCACTTCTGTCATGTTGACCTTCAGAAACTACATACCTCGAGTGAGAAGGTGCTCTGGGGCCTCTAAGGAAGGCGAGACACACCGAGAAGGGCTTTGATACCGTCTCGGATACTTCCCCAAACTCCCTGGGGGGTCGAGAAGGCTTTCTCCCAGCAAAGAATCCTCAGAACTGCTTTTGTGTCCTTCGTCTAATGGCATACCGGCCTTGAGCCTCATCACGCACCGACGCAAGTCCTCCTCCGACCTTTTGGGGTAAAAGAACAAGATGTGAAACTTCCGGCCAAACACCAAATGCAGAAGGAAAATGGCATGCATGCAACACCTGTCCTGCTCCACGCAGAGGCGTCGGGATGGAAGCAGAGATGACATTGGTGGATTACAGAGATCAGGTGGCTTGGCAAAGGATGGCAATTCATTTTTGTGGCCAGTCAACGAGATGCATTCGGTGTGGAGGCAAGGCACCAGAGGTATGCTCTCTGTTCGGTGTCTGAACATCACAGATATCTGCAAAGCAATCATATAGTGAAATCACCAGATGTGCAAGAGAAACAAGAAGTGTTAAAAATAATGGATTTGACAGCCCTACTTGTATGCCTTCATTTTTTCCAAGATATGAGATGGGAAAAGTGTGAGATCCTGGCTTGGAAGGGAACTTGTGTGAGAAAGCATCTCCGAGCACTGTGATGCGATACACAATGTTCAGGGGCTCTGTGCCTCCCGATCTACTGTACCAAGCTGTCAGCTGTGAGAAGTGTAGATATGATCTCAGTGCTTGAAGCAGGCTCCGTCGACATCTTGCCGCACCTGAGGCTACCCATGCTGCTCCTTGACTGTAAATACAACAGTTTCAATCTGTGGATTCTTTGTTTCCTTTCGCGACAGGGCAACAGGTCGCAACAGGTCTCGATACCTGAGGGGAATGAGGCGAATCCTCCACTGCTCCAATAGGACATAATTGGGTTCAGGGATGACCGATGGATCCAAAGACTGGGACTTCTGGGTGCCGTGAGCACAAGATGGACCGAGAAAAACCTCTATGCACATTGGCACATTGCTTTTCCACAGGAGAAGCATGTACTTCTTGCAAGCTTCATCTCTCTTGCACTGCAAGAATTAAACCAGTGACAGCTTCGTCGTAACTGGTGCTGACCGCTCTAATTGGATGGGGCAGCCACTCACGAGAAAAGACGAAGGAGAACATTCATGCTTCGAGAAACCTGAGACAGGCGGAGCGTGAGGTCCCTCCTTGTAACCCTTGAGACTCGGAGCCCTCAACCTGCCCTCCAGGATGAGAGCCCCCACATCGGTGAAGGCATCACAAGGCTCCACATCGACGGCTTCCTCCATGGTCTCAGTCTCTCCACCTGCGAATTCAAACGCATGGCCCTGATCAATCAACTTTCTCAAACTAGGCCTAACTCATACGTGAATCCATCTCTGCAATTAGACCTTCCCTAGATCGAACAAACCTCTGAGCCACCACTCTAACTCTCCATCTGTGACATCGCAAACCCTGTTCTTCATGACCTGTGCTTCTGATGCAGCACCGTCCTGCTCATTACGAGGAAGAACCACTCCACGTCCGAAGCATTTGGGAACGGAAAGCCATTCTAACGTTAGGCGTACGATTCCACTGGTGTCGACCAGGCCACAGTTAGCCTAGGTCTAGGCCAACCCTTGCGTAATGAGATGAACCGGTGCCATATGGGCATTCCGTCTGGTCTTCCATCCAGCACGGAAATGCGACATAGCCTGGGCTCGATGATCAAATTGCTGACGCCAAAGGGGACGCGCATGCGAACAAAGAACCACGGACAACACGTGTGCCCGTCAGCTGAGCGCCTACGTCACGAGTGTCGACTGCTCGCCGTCATTCGTGACGTCATCTCGCTCTACTGACTGCTGCAATTGAGGGTCGGTCGAACGGATAATGGCTCCAGCCAGTAAGTACGGTAATTTAAGAACGGCTTTGGGCTACTGGTCTGAATGATGTCAAGGGAGCGCCAGAAGGAGTGAAAACGTTAGAGAAACCCGTTTCCGATTCGCTCAGTGCACACAATTGAGGTGAGAGAAAGTGCAAGGTTTAACTTCGTGAAAGGAAGGCTATGCGGAAAAAAAAAAAAGTCTCAGACCTTCAGCCAGTCCGTGTGAGTTCCCCGTTGCCTTTACGCAATGCCAGTCTGACTTTCACGTCTACAGCCGGGCAGTTCCTTATCTTCCCTTCGTCGCTCTCAATCATGCGGAGAGGGACTGATCCGTGTCGCAACGGCCGAAAACGAACGCGAATAATTGCAATGCTAATTGGTTTTGTGAATAAAATGAGTTCCGAGCGGGAGAATCGTGTTGCATCATTTGCGGGCGAGGAGTGCCGCGCAGCTCGGCTGGTATGGCCAGGCTCGGGCTGAAACAGCTGATGATGGCAAGGTCACCAGCTTTGCTCCTCTTTCGCACAAAGACGGCGGAGAGTCGTAGATGAGTCTTCCGCTTCCTGTCGTCGAAGTAGGGCGATCGAAGAGGGTGTCGTTCTCACGTGAGCGAGAGTGGAGATGCGATCGCCGCGGAACCGCGTCATCGCTGCCAACATGGCACGTCCTCCTCCACAAATCGATTTTCGTCATTCCTTTCCAGGAAGGGTAAAAAGGAAGAGGACTTCCACGAAGGCTTTTCCATTTTCTTTTTTTCGGCATTTCATTTCTGAAGCCGATCCTGGATTTCCCCCTTACGTCATCGGCGAGGAAAATCCTATGGATCGTTCTATCTCGTATCCTCGTTCGGGATCCATGGGGGACGGAGGGGCCAACTTAACAGCCTGGGCTAGCATCAGCTGATTCCCAGCCCCCGCGCGGATTGGCCGAGCCCGGGGCCCTTGGAAACACAGTATAGACACCTGCGCGGGCAGCCTGACAACTATTCCATGCGTGCCAAAATAGATGCGATTTATGCTGGATGTTTCCAGGGGCTCTCGCTTGCAACTCTCGCCTGCAACGCAGGCGAAGAAGCATCCACGTGAGCACGTCCTTGGCTTCTGGCCCCCGTTCACCTTGAAGCGAGCGCCAGGAACTAGACAAAGGCAATCCTTCGCATCGGGATTTTCAGTCTCCTCGATCACGAATGCATCCTTTTTCCGGTCGCATAAGACTTAAAGAGGTTCTATCTCCTTCGCCTACGCGAAGACGGACGTCACGGTACGAGAGCCAGGACCTATCACGACGAGAGGGTTAGATCGCCTGCAAGCCAGAACTTGTCCGAAGTCAACGACCGAGCACGTGGTTCCCTCCCATAGGCTCACGAAACGGGAAACTGCTCATCTATCGGCATGGGCACCGCTCCCCTTCTGCCTCGGTCCCGTTTCGAAAAGGTGACTGAACCGCTCGCGGGGTTCCTCGTCGGAATCTCATCGTCTCATCGCACTCGGATCAAACGAACCCTGCCGGGCCGTGGAATGCTCACCGATGATTATCGACGACCAGCCGGGCCTCGCCGCACCATCGAAAACCTCCACGATCACGTCTCTGGACTCACAAACACAAGACGGACGAGCCCCCGCGCGATCATGACATCCAACACGAGAGAGCGCGATGCTCTCGCCATGGAGTCCCGACCAGAACTGGCCCACTTTCGTTAAAGCTCCCTCCCGTCGATCAGCTGTTTCCCTGGCCGTACCAGTCGCATCGAACGGCTGTAAACAAAGCGGATATCCCTGGCCCTGAGCCTTCAGTTTTTCACCTACCGTGTATAACCTTTGCCTTTTTTTCTCATTCTTACCCAAGACGCAATTACCGCCTTTCATAACGGCAGAGCGAGTCACGATCCCATCGAAACCTGCAAACCGGCGCGAAACCTCGGTAACACCCGCGACGTACCCAACGACCCCGGCACTCGTGGCGCTCACTCGGCGCTCGCCGATCCGCGACTGCATTTCACCTGCGGGCAGGCGACCGCTACGCCGATCGAAACCGCTGAAGCCGCACGACATTTCGCTTAATGGAAAGTAAATATTGCCCGAGATGCTTCATCTCATCCGCGATCATCTCGAGTGTTTCTCTAGCAAATATTTTCCTGATTATTTTTAAAATCTTGGGAAAATTTTGATTCCCTCGACGAATCAAATAACTCGCCCTGTTTTCGCACCCATTGAATATTAAACAGCACTTCGAATAAAACCCGAAGGCATTCCGCTTCGAATAAAATGATTTTTTCCTCTTCCTTTTCTGGACTTTCTCGAAGTCACCAAGGATGGATCCACTCCGAGATAAAAGCCTTGTACCAGGATACGAAAGCCTTTATCTCGTATAGCATCTTTATCGTTATCTTTAACTCCACGTGCCGAACCACAATAGTCCCATTGGAACCGAATAGAATCCTGCTAAATTATTTATATCTTCACCTTTGCATATTTTTATTGTCTTTCAAACTGCATATCATGATCATGTTATTATTATTTTTGCAAATGAGTCCTGCCGCCTTCGCCAGCATCATCTTGCACGGGTGATTCTCGACTTAAAATATGTGGGTTCAAATTTTCATTTTTTATTTTCATAGTTGGCTGCAGTTGAGATTTCGGTCTTCGTTCTGCTCATCGTCTTTTTTAGCATTTCTTTTTTTTTGTAAAATGAAATTCCAATTTGAAAGGAAATTTTATTTGCATAATGATAGCATTTACATAAAATGCTAATTTTTTTAGTGCATCCGAGCGACGCCATCGAATGCAGTCCCCGTTCAAGTCGTGAGCCTTCGCGTTCGCCGCTGACGTGCGCGGAAGAATCACATGGTGCTGAAGAGCAACTATCGATCGATCGATCGATGAACGCTGCGATATCGAAGAGAAAAAACGGCGTCGAACCGGTTAGTGGATAATATTTGCAGATTTTCGTTTCGTCGCGGGATCGAGCCGGGAGTGGACGGAAGAGTTTCGTGACCTGTCATGTTTTACTTAGTGAGCCGTTTCGCGTGCTCCCCGGTCGAGTGCTCCTTTTATATGGTGTACTCTATCCGATAGTGGAGAGAATCATTAGCTCGACGATCCAGATGAGCCGAAGTGACCGATCGTGCAGATGGCCGAGAGATTTCTTACCGGCGTCGGATCCTTTGGCCTCTCGCCTTTCCCCGGACGCAGAATCACCAGCACCGAACCACTCACTCGCCGTGCGATTCGGATCGCCTGCACCGAGCCGCTCAATCGCCGTGCGATTCGGATCTCTGCGAGGAATCTCACCCGGCTGCGGAGGTCGACGGATTGGGAGGATATGGGGTTCCGGGCTTCGATCGAGGTCCTCGCCCACTCCATGTTTTCCCTCTTGCTTTTGCTTTGCGAGTTGCAAACTTTCCTTCTGAGGACGCCTTTATAAGTTTCATTGGTGAGATTAATGCTCTGGCAGTAATAGTTGAGTGTTTTGTTTTTTGTTTTTTCGAAAAATCTATTCTGACAAATTATTTTATTGCCCGCACAAGGAAACTTTCTGGCGCGGACAAGTTCCTAGGAGCATATCCTTATTGAGTCAATCGGCTCGAGTCCGTGGATTTTATTTCTTTTGCGACTGTTTACTTTGAATTGCGTCGTTAAGTGTGTTTCCTTATTTATGAACGATGAGACGCGACATTAAAACCAGTCCCTTCGTCGATTTAGAATTTGAGCTTTCCGGAGGCTTTTCCTCCCGCCTGCGCAAATTCTTTCATTCCGCCCATCAGCTGAAGCAAATCGAGCAGAAAACGAACCTGGCCCCGCCCCCTCCCGACCCGAAGGTCATTGCTGAGAGTCGAAGGGATCCATCGATCCGATTCACGAGTTTTCCGCGCCTTGATCTCGATCCTCGGACCCCTGGAAAACGTGACGTCTCGCACCCTAAATATTTCCTACGCAATCCGTCACGCTGAATCGCGGTCGACTGCCGGTCGTGTTTGAAATCGCATAGTCGTCACGTACCTGCGTTTTTTCTCAAGGCCGACAGGAGACGAGAAGCCGGCTTTGAGAGCCGCAATCGATTCGGTTCTCATGCAAATGAGTAAACATCGCCGGATGACGTCATGCGGTGTTGTCTGCTTGAGGAAAGAGGAGTGCCAAGTTTCAAACATGATAATTACTCCGTTGGACAGATCGATGAAAGATATGGTAGGCCGTCCTTTCTCCGCGCCTAATGGGAGTGCTGCCAGAATTTTCCGCGAGCCGTTTCGAAACGACGCAAATGTTAGCGATGCAGCCCTGCCTGCGGCTCAGACTGTGCCGTCATAACAAGATGGCGGCCGCCATTAATCTTTTCTGGCTGATGAGCTGGATGGCCAGGGTTGAGCGTGGTCGCGGCTGAACATGGTAGAATGCCGGATGTCCTTGAGTGTTTTTTTAAATTAAAAGAATGTGTTTTTTAAGTCTGGGAAGGCGTGGTCAGACGCAGGCACGCTTTCGAAGCGTTGAGGATTGTGTAGAGAAAGAATTCGTGATGCAAAAAGCCCTCAAAGGATGATTTCGTCTGACTCTGCCTTGACCTCCCGACGGCGACGGGCGACGGAAAGGGGTACATTTTGCGCTGCCATCGACTGGCACGAGAAGTATCCGAGGACGATCCGACGAGGTCTGCTCGGCTACGCTTTTCCGTCGTCGTTCCCGAACGGGATACCGCGGTCCTTCGATTTCTGCGCGTTCCCGACCTGGCGACGATTCTAAAGTATCCTCGAGGGAGTGGCTCGAGCCCTTTCCGCTCGGCTTTCAGGTGAGGATGAGTCGCTAATGCAATTTTTGCTGCGCCTCTGTGGTGCGGTGTTGATGGTTGCCACATGAGGAGACCCGGACCTATATATCGATCGAAAAGAAGCAAGAAGAAGGAAAACAGCAGGGTTCCTTAGAACTCAGTTCTACACAGATGGAGATTTTCGTGACTGAATCTCATCATCTCGCTTTTTTTCTCGACCTCCTGGGAGAGGACTGCACGGCGGCGTAGGCTAGGGATGGCGCTGAGGGTGGGATGGGCCTTGCATTGCGGGGTGGGAAGGGGATGGCTGGTACGGGGTGTTGGATGTTTGTCGCTTCGTGCCCTCTCATCCCGTCGAAGTGGGGATGAGGCGATCGAAGGGATTCTCGTTTGCTTCGAGGACTGCTGGGTGCGGGGCAGGATCGGAGGCGATAGGATGGGGGGGGAGGGGTCTTGCATGCCTGGTTTGCAGATTCGATCTTTCGCTGCATTGGAAGGTGTGACATATGGCGTGACGCGACGTGCTGAATTGTGACTTTCACCGGCGATGTCTTCGATGCGGGAGGATCGCCTTCAGCCGCTTCGGAAATGCCAGAAGGTCTTTCTGTCCTCGAACAAGGCCGAAACGAGGCATGCAAATTTCCCCGATATGCTGAATCGAAGTTGCCCAAGGCCGACGAGAAGGTGACTTTCGACACGAAGGGCACGTTGTCCTTGTACGTCCGGTGAATTTCCTCGACGAAAAAAAGAGAGAAACGACGAAAGCTGCGACGAAAGCCGATTGGGAAATGCCGACGAGGACAGCGGCATGAAATTTTAAAAATTTCCTTTTAAAGATTCGCTCTGGAACTTATTCTGATGGTGATGAAATCGAAAGATGACGCGAGCTCGTGACTCCGAATTCTTTTTCATACTTTTACTACAGGAAATCTTTTCAGCCTTGAACAGTCGGCCTTGCGGCTCGGGAGTCGCTTTGTATGCACGGGAAAAGGAGATACGAAGCGTGAAGTTTTCGTATTATGCGCAGGAAATGAAGAAAAAAACTGCAAACGAATGTTAATTTCATTCGAAGCACGAGGGTAATTTTGTTCCTCATCAAGAAATTCCATCCAGATTGAGTCGGGCACTCTCCGTGATTCCATCGAGGAGATCGTGTTTCAGTCCCACAATTAGCGAGGATGGGGTTCCACGAAAACTTTGATCGATTGGCGGTCGGGGTTGATGCCACGTTGTGCGCTCGCGAGCACTCAATCCGGACGGCTCTCAGGTGAAAGTATGTAATTCACAATGTAGGTGACGCTTACGACGTGCCCATATGGTGGCGGTTTTCTATTGAGTTCCGCAAATTATTCACTTTAGCGCCTTCTGACAGCCGACATCTGTTAACTGCCATCTTCATGCAATAATTTCGCTGTTAAATGAAAAATAGTCGAACTCAAAAGTTTTGGGAGCTCAACTGCAGCATTAAGTGGAGCAGACGACAGCTGACATACTTTGAGCAGACGACAGAGAAGCGGAGCCAAGCAGACGCCAAACATGGCGGCGGCCGGCTGTCGTTCGAAATTCCCGGTTTTCGTTCTCCTTTGCCTTCTACCACTGTCTTCGGCCGGAGAAGCTTCTTTCAAAGGTAGGGTGAGAAGGGTTGTGTGTGGCCTCGTTGGGAAATGTAAATCTAGATTCTCGAACGTCAAGAATGCCTCTTTCTCCGCTGCCGTTGGTCACCCGGACGTTAGGCCTAGACCAAGCGATGAGTGTGACGTGGGGGAAACTCGCGGGGACGATGTCGGGCGTGAGTCGATGTCAAAGGGCGACCGGGTTGCTAGCATTTGGGCTCCTTACACGTGGTGGAAGAGTTCGGAATCTCAGGATCCAGTCGATACGGAGTCCAAAGCCAGACAGGACTTGCTCCATGCTGCAGATGATGTCCTAGGTAAAGCCGACAGTTGTAAAGCGGCTGCTCGAGTTGTTGAAAAAAAGACGCTGGCATATCAGTCTGAGTACATCATAGCCAAGGCGAAAGACTTGGTGAAAGCTACTGATGAGGTTCACCATAAGGCTAAGAGTGTGAAGGATGATGTATCTTCCTTGAATTTCTGGTTGTCTCAATGGTCTTCGGGAAAAATCATAATGGCTGAGAATGATGCCAAAAGGGTTCCTTCTAAATGCTCTGGTTGGTTCACATCAATAGAGCCAAATGATGATGAGGATAAAGGAAAGAAGAGCACTTGGTCATCCTGGCTCCTGTGGCTCATTTTCCAGAGCAAGACCCTGAAAGAGCCTGAAACTGCACAGCTTGAAGTGCAAGGAAAATCCAAACAGGAAGGGATAGAGAAAGAGATAGATGTCCAAGTTGATAAGAACATCTTGCCAGATAAGAATGCTCTTTCCATGGAGGAGTTACTGAAGCACATCCAACCCATATCATGGTATGAAGGATTGTGGAGTTCTTTGGAATTTTTAAAAAACAAGGCACTGAGGCCAGAACTAGAAGAGATCATTGCTTGTCCTCATCATCAGCCATCCAAGGCAGACAAAGTGGACATGCTTCCTTATGTTCTGCCAGGATTTCATGCTTGTATTGGCCTGATGAGAGGAGTCTTCAGGCCAATCACAGACTTGCTCTATCAGGAAATACCAGATGCATCCCCGTTGACTGCTCATTGTGAGCTAGTGAAGTTTTTCTGCTAGTTTTGAATGTATGCAAGTATACCTGAGAGCTAAGTGCTTATTTTGCTTTCATGAAGTGTGAGATATGACATATGGAGTGCATTAGCTTTTGAATGACTTTGATGTGTGATTGAAAATTGATAATGATAGTAGCTGCTCCATCTGGGCAGTCTTGCCTGACATGTATACTATTACATTTTATTGCAGGTTCATTCATTGGCATGACATTGATCATAGGATTTCTCTGGCATTTGTTGGAGACTCCTTTGAATCATTCATGATGATTCAGCATTCATCTACCTTCTTGCTGTTAAATATTTGAATATGAATGGATGAAATTGTCACCTCGTGTATCATCTGTTTTGGCTTCAAATTTTGCCAGAGGTTTCTCAGTACATGCAAAGCTTGTTTCTATAGTGCACATATGTTACATTTAAATTTAAGGAAATGTCTTTTTCTTTGCAGCTCCACCAGTGCCAATTCACACCTTGGGTGGAACCAAAGTCTTTCATGTAAATAAAACAGAAAAAGCATCACAGGAACTCAATATCTTCTGCTATCATGGAATTGGGTCCCGCAGCCCGCAGTACATCTTCACTACCATCTCGGTACTATGCAGTGTCCTTATTCAGCAAGGGAAGTGTCATTATATTGCAGTTCCTAAACTATCCCTTCTTATGTAGGCCAGGGTAGAAATGATCAATGCATCGAAGCTGTATGACATTTATTACGGCCCGGATGAAGCTGCAGTATATCAAGACTATCAAGAGGCTAAGAGCGGATGGCTTCTCAGCCTCCTGCGATTTCCAGTTCGCTCCACACTCTTCAAGCCGGGACTACTCTACGTGGACAACTTTCAGAAGACGTGCATTGGAATCGAGACCAAAGATGCCTATTTATTGAGCCTTGTGAAGCAAAGTAAGCCTCTTTCCAGTATATTAAATCAAGATTAATGGTAGTACAGACCTGACATTGCACAATATCTGATGCAGTAATTGATCCTTGGCGAGTGATCCTGCTTGGTGCTGGGATGGTGATGTTCCTCAAAGCAGGGCAGTTAAGTGAGAGTAATGCTGTGTATTATGGAACAGGAGTCTGCTTTGGCATCATGACAAGCTTGCTTCTCTTATCACTCATTTGCAGCAGAGTTGTTCCAAGAGTGAGTATTTTCTATATCTATGAATAGGTGTGAGTTGTTGACGTGATGAATTAAATCGGCTGTTGTCACTCTTTACAGAAACCAGTAGCGGTGGGCCTCCTCCTTGGAGGCTGGTCCCTGAGTGTCTATATATTTCGAATTTTCTTTGATAATTTTTATCATCTGGTCACTCAATACCGCAATTGGCTTCTCGGATATGCAATCATCACTGGTGTCCTCACGTTTGGATTTTTATACCGTTTTCAACCGGTCAGACATCCCAGATCTATCCAGCTTATGCAATGGGCCATTCAAGTGAGTGCCTCTGTACAGGGTGATTCCAAAATACCTTTACCATTTCAGAGATTCAGTACAAACTGAGTACAGTTCCAAAATACTTAAACCTGGAATATTGCTACAATAAAACTTTGGTCTCCAATTTTGACACATTCCCATTTCTGCTCTTGAAGAGGAGTTGACTGATGAAGTTGCTCATCACTGCACTTCAAGCAATAAGCTTGGGACAATCATTTTGAGACCTCATTCTATTATAATTTTTTTTGTGGGATTGCTAGTCCATTCACTCTTTAACATGCCTAATCAAAAACTCTGAAGAATCTGGAGGTTAGGATTTAAGAGCACTCACTCTTACCAAGCCTTATGAAGCAAATACTAATGTGTGCTTTGATAGTTTAAATTCATATGATATTGGCCTTTTCTTGAGTCTGACTGAAAAGTTAGTACCCTATATTTTTCTCAATAATTTTTCAAGTTTTTCTTGGAATAGCATGTAAGCTTAATTGAGTATTTCTGTAAAGTAATTGGTTTTTAATAAATTTCTGGAGTACTGAAGGTATCACCCAGTATTATAGCTTATTTTTGGTTGAAGATGTTTCTGAAAATGTCTTGGTTCTTTGTAGCTTTCATCCTTGATTGGAGTGTTCTATAGCAGTCAAATGCAAGAGTTCAGTTTTTTGGTCGTCGTGGGCCTCCTTATTTTCTACAATTTCCCAACCCGCTGGATCAATTACATCAGGGCCCTCTGGTCAGTTGCTTGTTTCTTTCATATTTTTTCCCTCATTATTCCTTATGGAGGCAAGTGCATTTACTGTATGTGCATTCAGGAACTCCACGTTCCCGGTGCGGCCACGCCTTCTGACGCAGCAGGAGTACATCGATCAAGGTGTCAGGGAGACAAAAAAAGGCCTGGATGAGCTAAGAAACTATTGTAAGAGCCCAACATCAACTCCATGGAAGCAAGTCCAACGACTGTCCAATCCCAAAAGGTGCCCCTGCTTGTCGGTATCCCCACGGTTCCGTTGTCGTTCATCCAGGTAGATGCCAGAGATGAGAAAGTTTGCAAGGTGGTTTGGCTTCTTAATGACAGAAGTGTGGAAGGGATACTGCGAAATTCAGTAATGCATGCTGGATGTAAAAGTTGATTCACTGGAAGAAGATAAATTTGTGTGGGAACCATTTGCCTGCCTGGTTTGACTGATTAACAACATGTTCAATTAGGATTGTTTTTACTCAAACTAACTTGTTTACTTTGGTCAGCCTAAACCTAAATCAGGAAAATGTTAGTTCATTCGATATGGGAAGAAGTCATTTTTCCATAATGTGCTTCAAGAGTGCAGAGGCTTCTCGAGGTGCTGAGAGGTTGGTCAAGTTATGCCTTTTGGAATTGCTGCTTTTGCCTGGTTGATGCTGTTTCAAAAACTTTGTATCTGATAGGTTTATTCTTGAACTAGTAACTGAAACATTAGAGGGAATTCTCAATAAATTTTTGCTAATCGAGGTTGATGGGATTTCTTTTTGGCAGGTTTGCTGAATTCGTGGAAGGAGGTTCAGACATCAGTGATGATGAATTGCTGGATTATAACCACAGTGATGTGAGTCTTCCAAGTGATACCCTCGCCAGTGGAGGCGAAGACGACGAGCTCACGGACATCGACGACGACGACGACATGGCCGAACGTCTAGTTGCGGACGAGAGAGAGGAGAGGTCGAACCATCACGCCAAGTTTACGGGTCGGCATCGTCCTCCGCTTCGCACCCTGTCGCCTCCTATTTTTTCTCCATCTTGATCTCTCCTTAGTTCTTCTTGCTCTCAGGTGATGCTCTTACTAGTTTTGTGTTCTGTTTGACTGATCCAATTGACAAGACTCATTGAAGAGGTGGATTTAATTCTCTGCTGCCTTCAAGGAAATTGTGATAATAAAGAAGTACAAAACCCTCTTTCGTATCTCGCGACATCTTGTTGTTTCTACCGTCGATGGACAAGGAAACCGAACTAGTTTGAGAATTGCATGTTTCATCATATTCGTTGAAAAGAGACATAAAAAACATGGAGTTTCAGTTCACTGGAGATATCACTGTGTTCCGAAAGACCCAGAGAGTACGGAATCTCCGACGCATAACCGTTTTCCGCTTGTTCGACTCAGATAAATTCCAAACGAAGCCTTGGCACCTCTAAATCCAGAGAGTGTCGCAAGGGGTTCTTTGGTCTTCTCTCCTGTTTCTTGGTCGATACATACCATCTGACACCGGGAACACAAGCCATGGCACTATGAGAAAAAAGAATTATTTGAAAGTACTGCCTCACTCGAAAAAGGTGAAATGATGACTGAGGCAAACTTTAAACGACGAGGATCCGATCCCGAGAGATTCCCAGGCATCTTCTGCGAAGGGAGCAAGCGTTTCACCGTCTCCATCGACGACTAAGTTCGGTCTGAATCGGGCGACTAATCGGTCCTCCTCGATATCGACTCCCTTTTCCCTCAAGCGGCCCAAAACATCCCTCACGCTCGCCCGGGACACCAACAGATACTGGGAGTCGTTGGCCAGAGACACCTCCCGTGCTGTAAAGGTGAAATCGAACGGTGACGTTCTCGCAAAAGTTCCATCGGTCGTTCGAGATGCTGACCGTTTTTCTTCCTCGATGCGACCGGGTTCTGTCGGTGGAGTCGGAGGTCGTCTCGACCGAAGACGCGGGAGAGCCACTCGGCCGCCTCATCGCCGCAGTCGAGGGTCGACACGAGATCTCCACAGACTTTGCTCGTGCGAGCGTCTTTCTTCTCGGTCGGCTGGGTCGCGTTCGGGTCGAGGGGGACTGTCGCGTCCGGGTGACCTGAGAGAAATAAATGTCTCGAACGAATGAAAAAAGCATCCTCGTCTTTTCCGTGCAGTGTACTCTTCCGCAGCCGACCTGGAAACGCGAGGACGAGTCGGTTCGTCCCGAAATCCACCCTCGGCTGCAGGGCGCACAGTCGAATCTCCCGCTTCTGAGTCAAGGGGACGCCAGCGGACGTGACGACCATCCAAGTTCGGTCGTAGGCGAGTCCGGTCCCGGTCAGGGGCCAGTCCCTCGCCGCCACGCCCCCGCAGGACTTCACGGGGTAGACGAAGACGTCGGTCAGGGAGATTCGACCCGGGTCGGACCGAGACGAGATCTCTCGGGGGATGCTGGGCGCGGGGGATTCCGATTCGCAGAAGCATTCCTCGATCATCCGGAGGAAGGAGTCGGCGTCTCGCTTCGTCGACATGTAACCGAAGGAGATGCGAACCGACCCCGTGGGTCGACCCTCGACGAGGTCGAGGTCGTCTCCGCACACGTGACCGGCCTGGAAAAAAAAAAAACCCGATCTGAGAATTATGCAAACTGCATGTCGTGTTAAGTAATTGTATTATCGGTCGTGTCATTTCTGATTACAAGCACACTTTAAATGTTGCCGACTCACCGCATAATGTTTCTTCATGTCCTCCTCGCTCAGTCCCAAATAATGAAGACAAGCACCTGGATTACAGAAGCATCCAGTTCTCAGGTGGATGTTGAACAACTCGGAAAACTTCTCCACCTGTCCGACAGAAAACCCGATCGTTCACCTCGGCTAAAACCCAGACAATTATTAGCTACTTCATGGATCCCCACCTCCGCAAAGCCGACAAAGGACCCATCACCCCGCACGAGATTGAATCCGACCGTCCCCCCCTGCGTCTCCCGCCTCGCAAAGTCCCCCCGTCCGTACACGACGGCGACCGGCTTCCCGTTCCCGTGCCGCAACGCCCCCAGCCGCTCGACCGCGTACCGGGCGAGGCCGTGCGTCCTCCCGCCGATCTCGTCCATCCCGCCCCCCAGCCTCTCCAGCGTCTCCAGGCCGTGCGCGACGGCCAGGATCCCCTGGAAATTGATGGTTCCGTCCTCCACCCTGTCGTCGAGGATAAATAATCACTGGCTTCCCGATAAATCATGGGGTTGTCGATGGAACTAAAAAAAAAAAAAAGCCATGTTAATCTGATCAGTCGCGGCTGCTTCTTCGACTGATTACCTCTGCGGGAGTCGAAGGAAACTTAATCCGACGCTGTCGTCGTTCGTGATCACAGGAGTGTGCATGGATAGATACCGACGACGAGGAACTCAAATTTCAAAATGTGTTGAAAATTCCGGGGAAATGCGAAAAATATGTTCCAAGTAATCACAACCCCCTGATGCAAACAAAGCTGGCCCTAGCCATTTCGGCCCCCCCCCCCCCCCCCCTCCCCCTCCCCAACGCACACAATTTCATCGGGTTTGGGCTTTCGCTTTCTGAAGTGAAACCGAGGTTGGCATCTATTATTGCTTGGTTTATTCGGTCACATTTTTGGCAACCCTAATAAATTTGCGCCCTGTGAGGCGGGGGGAGAAGGGGGAAGGGCCACATGTCTACGGCCAGCCCTGCATGCAAATGATATACAGGGTGGGCCAAAAAAAAACTTGGGTTATCTTTATCACTCTACAGCACTGGTCCCCAAGAGTTTACTATTAAAAAAAAGTAATAGTACCTCCATGTAGAACATTCTTTTAGCTTTCGAATGATGTCAAGAAAAAATTAAAGGTTTGTGGCCTAACTACCACGCAGTTAGATAAAGAGTATGAGAGGTGGCGCTGGAAAAGTTGGTGCCATACTGCGATTTGAGCCAGTGCATGCAAGACTTCGCCTAGTCGCTACGAGCGAGAGAATGGACGTCAGCTGGAGCACGTCCCATATTGTACTGGTGAGTCGGTGGCGTGGCAGCCCCGCCCGAGCAGTCCCCGCAGTTGCGGGGGGGCCCAACCTTGCGACGTTTTTCCTAATGTAAACAAATGTGTACAAAAACATAATAGTAAAAATAAATAAGTAAATAGTCATCGCGCGTGGGTGGGGGGGCCTGGCTGACTCATAATGCCCTCTTTAGGCGCGAGAGAAATCCAACCGAAAAAAAAGATACTTTCCGACAGATGTAATCAGCTCCCAGATGAAGCGATTTATACTACGTTGGAGCAAGGGCCATGCCGGCCGAAGGGGCCCTACTCGAGGGATAAAATTCGAGACCGCTCCTTCGCAGAATCATACAGTATTACAGTAATCGGGGCTGTCCGTCCCTGTAACCTGGCGGTTATTCCCGAAAACCGGACGCCGCTTTCCTCACAGAAAGCGGCTGTTTGCTGACAGAGAGGACTTCGAATACCATACAGCCCGGTCTACGGGCATACGTGACCGGCGTGGACTTTCACGACCGTGCTGAATCAGCTTGGAAATGTGTAAACAGAGCTACTGCAGGATATGAAAAGTGCGCCATTTCCCCCTATAATTATGGATGCGACTCAAGACATAAAAAAAAGGACCAACTGAGCTATATCAACCGATTTGTCATGCTTCAATATCGGATTTTATGACACTAATACATGGAGTAGCAAACCTATCATGAGGAAATTAGTTCTTTTTTTGGAGAGGGGGGCCGCAGAATTAAGTTTTGCCGGGGGGGGGGGGGGGGGGGG